ATGAGACCAAAATTAAGAAAAACCTGCAGCAGGGAATTCAGTACAGTAATTCCCATCTATTTCCCAACTATTTGCATTCTCTCAGATTTCTTCTCGCCTCAGCAGAGTTAATCCCTATGGCCCGAAATGCAAAGAACTTAATCTTGTCCTTTCTTAACCAATGTATATGTGATACTCCATCAACCACACCATTTACTGGAACTCTTCTGTTGAGTGGGAAACATGATAGTTGGTAACCATCTAATTCTTATTTCAAATGCCTTCTTCAGTGGCTGTGACACACTCAACAATGATTATTCAACTTCTTTTAACTATATTGACATAGTCAAGGCCACGTTTGTTGAGTCCAAGTATAAGACCAGGACTTGTCAAGAGTTCAAAGAGGTTAGGGAAATTCAAGTGTTAACCATATATCTAAGGCTTTCCTCAGACATACTGTATGGTTAACCTTAATCTTACAGAGTAACTCTGAGTTGACTTTAAGACTCTCACCTGACTTCCTCACAAAACAAAAATCACATTCAAATGAAATCAATACATTGATTACTCAGTGTTCATTTCCCACAATGAGACATTTTGGAACAATGATGGATAAGGATACACTTTAACTCTAAACTAAACTATAAACTTTGAGGATAAGCCAACAGAACAAGAGAGGCTGTCGAGCAAAGGACCAGGAAAAAAAACAGTAAGTAGCACCATGCCAAGTTCCACTTAGTACACCATATAAATCATAAGCCATCTACAAACTACAAAGTAATGCAGGGTCTAATTAGAGCAGTAGGAGTATGGACACATAATAATTGTTTGAATATAAGCTTTAGCTTACTTTGATTCTCTGAGGTTTCTGATCTTGTCACTTCAATCCAGCTTCTAGTATGAACTCACAATCATGTTACCTTTGTTACCCTATGCAGTATGATGATTCAAATTATATTATGAATAAAACTTAATGTATTCTGTCATGACTGAGGCTATAAAAGTGATGATTTAACATAAAGACATAAAGGTGTACTTGCTGTATGTAAAGACATCAACCTCAGTGTGTTCAGGGTAAGATTAATACAGAAGAACAAGGGTCTCCTCCCAGTCGGTCATCATGTCTGCTGACTCTTCCCGTTTAGGAGAGCAGTACAATAAGTAAGGGATAATTATAGGGGTATTTTCCTATCTTTATTTGAGAGCGCACAGCAAAACAAATTACAAATGTGATTGGAGAGTTGTGTAACTATCTCAGTCCGTGTGTGCGTGGATTTGTAAATGTGTGAAAAGAAAATCTACAAATCTGTATTCAGATTTGTAAATGTGTACACTAATCTGTAAATGCAGACATACGTATTAATGTAAATATTTGCTGGAAATACAGACAACTCATCGGTTACAGTTCAGGCAGGACTCTCAATTTGCCCTTTTTTACTTCTGACTTTTGCTGCGCTTCTGTCTTGGCAGATCTGCAAATGTGTGCCGATTTATGTGTGTGCCTACCTATCACAAGTCAGCAGTAGCATGACATTGCTGCAATCTTTACCGTTTTCCAACCTACTTTAGTTGAAACCAGAAATATAGTGATATGGCACTGAATTTGATGAATTTACTGTTTATAAGACCAGAAATGAGCCTCACTGATTACTGTGCAGAAACACAACTTTAAACTTTATTCACTGATTTTGGTGAAAGTGGATCATATAAGGAGAAAGTATTATCTGGTTTTCCTTCTGATGTTCTCTGGCTGCTCTTCGTCTCATCTATTGGTGATTTGTTTACTGGTGGACAGATAATATTAATTTTATTGTTGCTAACGTATGCCGCCAACTAGTTAACTGTAGCTGGATACTGTAGCTAACTGAAAACAGTGTGAACACAGCCGGCCTGGGACCAAACAGCCACCAAATCCGATGACAGGGAAGCCGAGGTGGTTTTCTTGCTGGGTTTGGCTCCTGGCCCGTGTCTCATCCCCAGATTCTGCTGTCAATCAATGTACTGTATTCCCTGTGGTTAAACTGCCTCCATCGGTCTCGAGGGCAGTGTAGTGGCTTGTGTGTTACAGTTGTCACATCCTGTGGTATTCAGAAGATGGGGCACTGAAGGATTATGCTTAGTGTTGTAAAATATAATTCTAAATTAAAGGTGCAAGCAGCGATGATCAGGCTCTTGCAGTTTGCGCGTGTCGGGTATGCTGCGGTCGTGTCATGCACCAACATGTCATGTGTAGGCCACGCCATGAAAATGACATGTAAATTAAATTGTCAAACAAGGCTTACTTCCTGTTTCCAGTAGGTGGCGTATGAATATGACTGAACATTGGCATTTGTTCAGGGTGGGACTATCATCAGACATGAAGTTTCATTCACAGTGGACCATGTACACTTAAGTTATGAACACACAGGCTGATGCATCAGGCTAGGAATATTACTAGGTATGTTTGCTTTATAGAAAAATAGCCAATAGTCTAATTGCACCTTTTGACAAAATACAAAAAACATTAACATATATGATATGATGCTTTAGAAACAAAAAAAAACATTGTTCATTGTATTTTGAACATTTAAATCCGTTTTACAGCCTTTTTATTTCGCCTTGTGGTAGGCAAACAGTTTTGTCAGTATAGTCTAATCTGGTCAATATAACATACAGATTGAAGAAACAATTAAATATTTTAATTTCCAGTCTAAATATATTAATGTAAATAGCACTGTAGTAGGCACAAATGCAGATTACGAGAAACACAATGACAATTGCGGGGTTTACAGATAAATTATCTTTTTGTACACACACACACACACACACACAATATTAAACTATAAATTACAGTATGAAATATTAAGAAACTATAAGTTGCTTCAATACAATAAACACTCACAGTGAAATATTAATAACAGCATAAGTTTTTCCAAATTAGCAAAGACTTCCCTGCCAAGAACCTAATGCAGCCATTGCACCCGCAGT